AATTTCACATGCTCTAAACTGTTTCTCCTTTGGAAAACTCAATACTGCTTGAAAGAGAAAAATAGCAGAGACTTTATCTTATGAAGTCTTTGCTGATTACTCAGAAACAGATCAGTCAATGCCCTTTCTATAAAAATAAAATTGCACAGAAGATCATGGTAAGGCAATTCTCCCCAGCACAGGTATCTTACACCTTCTCACTGTTTTCTTTGTGCCTACAGAAGAAAGCATGACAAATGCTCTTCACCAGGGGTTATTCCCTTTCTGACAATGGATGGGCAACATCCCATATTCAGGGATTTACCAGCTGTGTGGCTGAAAGGATGCAAACTCTCCTTGGAGAATGAGCTTTCCCATGTCTGTTACTACAAGACTGGTCTGCTTCTTTGCAGTACTGACAGGGTCATAAATGTCTGGGGCCTGAGGGTACTGTTAGTCATGACTGTGCCTACACACCCACCTCACTTTGGGAATTCAGTCCACAAGGAGATCCACTGTAGAGTGAATCTATACAGAGATTTACAGGTAGCCTGCAACAAAACAACTTTCATATTCAGAAGAGCCCCTAACAAATGCAGAAAGATCTAGCTGCCATTTCTTTCCTGATCTCTTGGTGAACTATGACAGTGTTGACTATGACTTTAAATCCCTTAATACTCAGAAGTTGATGTATCAGAATGATTGCTTCACTTTCTGTGCTCTCCTTCAATAGCTGCAATCAGCACAGTCTTTCAGATGAAATCTTCATTATAAAAGACAAAGGGGAGAGAATAGATATTCTTGGCTACAGCTCCAAGGGTCTGTAATTTGATCTGAAAACAGCCCAAACTACTACAAGTTTGAGACAAAAGTCACCTTTAGTTTTCTTTGAAGAAACAAGCAGATGAAGACAATTGCAAGTTGTTTCAGTAGATTTGCATGGAATCCATTTCATACTGCTTAATTGTCCTGAGTAAACTCATTTGTATTTACTGGATAATGATTATGCAAGAAACCCTAACAACTTTGGTAAGCATCTATTATGGTTTTCATATAAACAAAACAATTACAATCTTGCTTGTAAAAGATTTATACATAGCTGTTCAATCATAATCAGATGAAAATTAATGACTTGTTAGCATTATTAGCAATTACTTTCAAAAAGTTTTTGAAACATCTATTAATCATTTATTAACGCTTTATTTATAAAACTTACTTCTGGAGGCACATTTCCATGATGTTTGTTTCTCTTAAAAATGTATTTTTCATTAATTCTATCAGTTTATGGCTGTTCTTTGAGACAATATGAAAACAACTCCCTTAGGTCATAGGAGAGAGGGAGCAGAAGATCCAGTTTTGCCTTGACCATCTATTGGAATTCTAACAGTCTTGCAGGTACAACTTTCT